ATGGGGACCCGGGTTAGAATTGGTCCTCAGTATCCCCTTGCTTGTCGTAAAAGGCGACTAAATGGGGCGGTCCTTCGGATGAGACCATATAAACCGAGGCCCCGTGTCACAGCAGCACTATAAAGATCCCTCCCTGCTCAAAGGCCGTAAGTGCCGAGCATAGGCCAAAATTTGCAGCCCTTCGCCGGCAATGGTGACGTCTCCATATCAGTGAAATATTTTGGACAGGGACGTTAAACAGTATTCAATCAATCAATGATGAAAAAACATCAAAGTTTAGGTTAGGTAACCGGCCTTTCCCAGCCCCTGGAACCCTTTGAAACTTTGACAAGGGATACCCCCTAAGACCCTGAACCAATCCCGAGTGAAAGATGGTTCAGGTTCCCCGAAATGGAGGACAAATGAATGCTTGAAATATGCCCCACGCACTTGGCACCACTTGGTGGTGCCACTACAGCCCCATTTTGAAGGTGTGAAATGATAGCCCTAGGACCCCTCAACCTTGCCCCAATAATCATTTGATGAGCACTTCAAAGAATAGCTGTTCTCTAATGGTTTTTTTCCGGATATAATGTAAAAGCCAACGTCCAGGTTAGCCTACTACCCCTTTTGGGGGATCTGGGACCCTTCGTAAGGTTGACAAGGGATACTTTCTAAGGCCCTTAATCCTTCTCCAGTGATTAGTTTGTTCAAGTGGCCAATAATTGAAGACAATCGATTGCTTGAAATATACTCTATGCACTTGGCACCACCTGGTGGTACCACTACATTTCCGTTCTGATAGCAGGAAACAAAAGTCCTGGGGCCCTTCTACCTTGCCCTAGTTACTCTATGGTGGGCACTTTATAAATCATGGGTATAATACCTGCCTGTAATAATAAAAATGCTCTTGGAACCACTTGGTGGCACCACCACCACTTATTACTGATAACAGTTATTAATAGTCTTATAGACCCATAAAGTTGCCCGGGTAATAATGTTGGAAACATACTTCAACGTAGTTTACACGTGTGTAATATTTCAGTTTACAATCGATAGAGTAACCAATTTTCAGGTTAGCTTATTGGCCCTGTCATATTCTTGAGGTCCCTGAAAAAGTTGAAAAGATATTCTTTTTGAAGTAGTTAACCATTAAATTTTCTTAGTGCTTGTTTGATCAAGTGGACTAAGATGATTGGGTAATTTATTTCTATTTTTTCAGTTTCAAAAAAGAACATTTTTTTCTTCAGGTGAGCCTTACTGCCCCCGAGTGTCTGATTTATTTTTGTAATTAATATTCGCATTAATTATACAAACATTAACCTTTTTTATCTTAAATAAAGTATAAAAAAAAAACAACATTGCGTCTGAGTACTATCAGTTCTTTGATGAATTTCCTTATTGGTTGCTAGCTTCTACGGGCTTAGTGGCTGCTGTTATTGGCTGCTAGCTTCAGCCTGGTTTCGCGTTGTAATCTAAGAACTTTGTATATTGCTTCTTCGATTAAACATAATTTATGCCCAAATTCAACTTGCATCATGAAAAAAAAAAATACATGTACGATCTTTCTGATGCAATATTTAACAAACATTTTCATTTTTATTATTTGATACTATATTCTCTACTCCGGACAACATGCTAACTTATTTCTCAATATCTGGCTAGTTTTAAATAATTATGCATTTTGAGACAACTGCAAGCAGAATTAAATTCACATATTATTCTATTAAAATAATGCATCTTATTGTCGTACTGTATAGGAATCGGAACAAGTATATACACGTTTACAAGCACTACACACAACGGAAAAGTTGGTGGGTGTTACAGGAAGAAATTGAAGCAAACAATGAATTTAAAAAAAGGGACGGAACATCCTCAAGATTTTTTTTCAAAGAAAAGGCATAATAGATGCACTTATTTCATTTACCATCCCTACGGATCTTATCGAAATCCAGTAGTGTTAATTAATATATATTTATCACATTAGACATAAGACCTACTTAGAAATACACTGTACATGAAATCATGGATTAAAAATATGTTAGACATATAAGACCTTTAATCTTTCATGTTTTGAATGCACTTTGAAAATAAAGTGAGATATGAAAAGTTTAAAATGTCTAATTGATTATGACTTGCCTATGCATTCAAAATAACTCCCTAACACCGACTTTTAGGCCTTTCAACTAATTTTTCAAGTTGTACATATGGTAAAAAAACATTGTATAGATAGATTAATAGGTACATGAAATTATCAAAAAAGATAATAACTTATGCATACTTTTAATGACATTATAAAAAGATTTAATCATTTTAATTGACTTTTCTGATGTTGTGTTTAAGGACTGGTAACTCAGGTGTGAAAAATGACCAACTTAGTGCAGATTTATGAGTTATAGTTTATAGACTGACATATAGGCTGCTTCAGCATTGGTATTTTTATATACACAAAAGGGTTCCTTACATTGATTTGTACACAAAAAGTTTTGACCAAGAGAAAGAGAATGCCGTAACTCTACCTGAAATAACAGGGTCAAATGAATGGGGAACAGACTATATTCAATAGTTTTAACTCTCTTTGACGATTATTATGAAGAAGAAAATTTAATGTCATTTTTTTGTGTTCGTGCTTTTTCGCTTCCTTTGTAAATTTATATATTTTTATAAGTAAATGCAACAATTGATCATCTTATTTGTGTTACTAAGCACGAAAGGGAACGACCGAGTATAAAAAATTAATTAGGTTAGAACGAGAAGGAGGGTAGATTTCACTTTTTATTTTAATTAAAAAATTTAATTATTTGCAGTAAACCGGTGTCCGCTACTATACAGTCAATAAGTTTAACATTGGTGCTAAATTTTAAAACCACTGGATTCTACTGAGAGCAAAGAAACACTTTGGAAATGTTTAAAACTTCCTTGCATGTAAACAGTTGGATACCCCGAGCCTGCACTAAACAAGTTTCAGCAGTGAGTTATCGTTCATAACACCGACCCTTGCAGCAGTTGAAAGGCCTACAACTTTATTCGATATTTGTGTCTGAAAATAAATATGTGTGATAGTGAGGGTATATCTGAAATCTCAGAAATAGCTAATGTTTTATGGTAATCAAGTGATTTTAAAATGTATCTTTTAACTATTGCACTAGTGTATGACGGCCTTATTTTAATGAAATATATGAATTTAGTATTTAATCTCTAAATTCCATTCAGACAATGCTGATCATTAACAGAGCAAATGCGAACCTCTAAAATATCAGAGGTTAGATCAGGTGCCGTGGAAGAATGAGTTAACCCCCCCCCCCCCCCCCCCGTCAACTGGTCACATCTGCCTCCTGTTCTTTTGTCATGATCCGTAAATAAAGGGAAAATCCGTTGATAATTTAATGTGTAAATAAAAGTCTAACATTTAGTATGCATTTTATATAATGATAGCTTGTATTTGCTGACAAGGTAATTGTATCAGCTACAGAATTTACGAAATGATGACTTCAAACGAGACTGTTGAAATTTTTGTTTCATTAATTTTTTTCAATATATTGTTTACGTTTTAAAAGTTGTTCATTCGTAAATCATGCTCTTGCGTATTGAATCACCTGAGAGATATACTTAGTAAATTCCATATGTAGGTGATAAGGGTTTATTGGTGTAAAAGAAAGGGACAATGACAATGAATCAAATAACTATTACTTATTGGTAATAAATTGTCGATTAATCGATTGTTATGAATGTGGATTAGAAAGCCGTTTTCATCTTCTCGAGTATAAGATTGTGAAATAATTCTGCTTTATATGCAACATTAATAGGTCGATCTGCTTATATCGTGACTCATTAGCTATAGGTACCCATCTATATTCCAACAAAATATTGACTGTCTCCCAATTGTCTCTAAAAACCATAGTACTAACTCCCATTGTTTATGATACGGAAGAATAGTAGCATAATTTTATTTCTTGATCATTTAATAAATTGTAAGGTTTTATTTGTGGGTTGCATGGCATACTCTTTTTTCAGTGTGGTACTTGTAAAACATGTACTTTTTTCCAATTTCCAACATCTTACTGTAAGAATCTTTTAAAGAGTGCCAATGCAAACTTGAGTTAATTAATAATTTTTCATTTGATAATTAAATAGGCCTGCATGTAGCTTTCTTTTTCTCATTAACCTGTAGTTTATTTTTAGTGATAGAAATCTTCCCCTGACTTGCTTATTTAACAACTTTACAGTCCCTCAAAGTATTAATTGACTACAATAATCTCTACTTATTAGAAGCTTAAGATTGAAAGAAATCCTTTCTTTTTTAATACTTTAAACTCCTCTCTGCTACAGAAAAACAAAACAACAGGGGGCCTGCAAATTCAGAATAAGTAACAGGACGGAACTATCCATAATTTAACCCCTTTTTTATTGTTTAAAAATATGAAATATTTACAAACATACCGAACGTTTTAACAAGAGATGTGCTTAATCACAATATATGTACATTGTCTTTTGGTTTCAAATTTCTCGCAAATAAGCGTCAGTTTGATAAAATCATGTTTACATATATTTGATTTATTTACTTTACCACTGTCAAATTCAGTGACAAAGAGGTTATCTGCGGTGTCCATGCACAGACCACATAAATCGTTAGATCACAGCTACGAATGAAACGTAGAAATTGTCCGTCCTGGTTTAGGATGTGGATACAACGATTATAATGTTCTGCAGTCAGGATCTGACTCCGAATGTCTGTTGTAATGCCACGTGGATCAAAGGATTTCTTGGAAATAGAGGGATGACCTGTGTATTTAAATCTGAGTACACCTTCCTGATTGACTACTACATGTATTACTGCATTGGCTTTACAGTCAGCTACACAGATATCCAGGTTTCTGTTTTCAGTGATGTATTTAAAGCAATCAGGGGAATACAAGGGGTCACCTTCACTATCAAACTGAATGGTTTGTTTCTCTGTAGATCCAGAGTAACGGACAACTTTTGATTGTTTGTGATCGTCACTGAGCATGGTAAATAAGAGGTCACCAAAGGAGGAACTGCAAATGAAGTAAGGTTTCCACCCCCTGTAGTCTGATCACTTCCTGTATCTGTTTATTCTTTACTATGTTTATAGTTCTTGTATCATGGTCAGTATAAACTAAATCTCCACTCCTTGTCACTGCTATGTCACCTGGTATGTTCCCTGATTTGGTTTGGATTGTCTTTAGCAGTTTTCCCTGGAGGTTGCAGAGTTTCATGATTTTGTCTTCTCCACATGTCCAGATTTCTTCATCACTGAGGCGGGTAACACGGTTATGTGGATCATACCCGGTGTCTATGATGATGATGAGCTCAGGTTCATCAATCAGCGGTTTGATTGGAGGACAAGATGCAGCTTCTGGTGTCTTCACTGTGTAACTTTTGATGAAGCTGTTCCTTGTTTTCCTGATGAGGGGAGAAAATTGGCAATGAAAATTTGACTTTAGGAAGTAAATTGATGAATTCAGCATTTCTTGATATATATGCAGAGGCTAAGATATCATTGGGGTCAAGTATTTTCTTCAAACCAAGCATGGTATCTTCTACTTCAGAAGTAATGTTTTTCATTTCATTTCCCTGTTTATTCAAAACAGTCAAATGTTTGGTTTTCATTTGATAAATTTCAGATTTCTGTTTGTTGACGATACTATTTATTTCACGATGCCAGAATTCTCCGTGTTCGGTAACTGCTGTAATCAATGTCTCATATTGCTCTACCAGGTTAAATTTTTCAGACTGTAAATCTGAAATAATTTCTTTATAAGTAGAATATATTCTTTGCTCAAGTTCTTTTTAATCTCTTTTTAAATCTTCTATTTTGGAGTTGAGTTTCTTCAGAACATCTGATATATAATGCCATTCGTGTTCACTAGAGATGCAAGTTGAACAGGCAGGAATGTCACATTCCTCACAATAAAGTTTACATTGTCTGTGGGTGTGATTTGGACATTTTGGGTAGTTAACAGTAGGAGTAAACTTCCGGTGTTCGTACTGCCTAGGTCACATTTCCGGCCGGTAGCCGTAGACCAGTGGTAATCGGTGGTAATCCGTGGTGTTAACAATGCCCAAACATCGGTACACATCGGCTTAGTAGTCCTTAAAGTATCAGTCACATTATCAGCGCTGGGTATACGATGTGCAATCAATGTGTTTTATGATAAATATGGTGTGGTTGCCGGCCGGACTTACAAAGGCCCAGCGATGCATTTCTAATCATAAAACGATGTTCCAGGATAATCGGCCGATGTATATTACATCGCTCACACATTGGTGAACATCGTTCGACTACAGGCCAATGTTTGGTTGAACATCGACCGATGATCGGCCGTTATTTGTTGAACACTATTCAACCCCCCGATGACCTCAGATTCAACGGATATTGGACGATGCTCGGCCATATATCGGCCGATCCTTGAAAGATGTGTTAATGATGGGTTGCTGATGAGGAACGATGTGAGGCATCGTTGGAGACATCGTTTAATTTTAAGTACGAATTATTTCCTACCGATGACCCCACCGATTCGCAAAATGGCCTTAGTCACCGTCCGATCACTAATGATATCGGGCCGGCAACCACGCCATTTTCATCAAAAAACGCATCGTTTTCTCATCGTATACCCCATCGCTGGATAATGTGACTGATACTTAAGGTACAACAATGTGTCTTTTGGTTGAATCAGAGAGATGCTCCCCTACACAGATCTTACACAGGTTAATCTGAAAAAGTTCACAATGACTCTGAAAGGTCTGTTATGTAGTGAAGATGTTGACTCTGTTGTTCTGGAGGATATCATTGGAGGAAAATTTAAAGCCATCCCGAATCTTTGTTCTCTGTTGATAATGGGGGACAACTTCTTTCCTGTTCTTCATTTATCTCCATCATTAGGGCTTTGTTCATTGATGAATGTCATGTTCTGGAGAAGTGGTGAGAGCATTGTTATTGGATGATTGTTAATTTGCTAAAGTTTTCAAACTATTCTGTGTTTTTTACTGCTTTTTTCTTATGAAACAAAGAATGAAACTTATTTCAACTTATGTTATATGATATAATATAACTTTGGACACTTTATACTTTATAAAATGCAAAGGTTTAGCACATAAGTTGAAATAAACTTCATTCCTTATATATATAATGCCAGTGTACACGATGAGAGTCAGACAATTTCCCATCAAGAATAAGGCTTCAAGTTGAGTATAATTTTAGACTACCGGTAATGTCAAGCGGAGTAATACATTTTTGACGTCACTTATTGTGACGTGGGCAACATGTTATATGAAATGGATTAAATCTTTTACTCAATCATATGACTTTAACTGATTCAACTAAAATTCAATTTTTTTTAATAAATATGCTACAATATATTAGCAATACACATTTATCACTTAGAGGTGAGATTGTCTTTCATCCATCGATTGAACCTAAATTGATGGCTTCCTATGTGCTCATTGTAAGTTAATCACAAATGGCAATGTAGATATTAGTTATATCATTTTAATCACACTTCACAAAAAAATTGTATTTACAATAATACAAAAACTACGTTCCACTGTATCATGATATAAATTAAGATATTTAAAGCATCTTATGTTATTTTCTTTCAGTTTTACTTAAAAAAATTATTTTTTAAATCTTGTAATTTCAGTTAAATGTTTACGACTGAATATAAATGTGCATTTGTTTACAAAATATTAAGTTACAGTAATGTATTGTGGTGAATATATTCAAAACTCTTATTATTAAAGTAAAAATAGTTCATATATATGCAATAAAGTTTGTATTTCCCCACACATCCCTACATAAGTGTATACCACCAATAAATGATGTTCATATCTCTTTCATAATTATTGTTTCATTTATGTTCCTGACAGGCAAGATGACTTCATAACAGATAATGCTCATCTGAAAACCCTGTCTGCCTTCTTTCCTGGTGTCTCTATAGTTGCTTTGAGTTGGACCTTAGACGAAGCCTCTCTGCAGAAACTTCCCAAGCTTCTTTGTCTTCACCAGCCACTTACATTGAGGGCCTCACCTGATATTCCTAACCTCACACTTAAAGTCCTGGAAAAGAAAAAATCATCTGATGTGTTATCCATTTATGAGGACATTTTCCATCCCCTTTGCGACAAACTGAAGGAGGAGTATGCTTCTTTCCCTGTCACCATCCTGTACCTTCCCATGTTTTACATGAGCCAGGCTGTGACCTATCTGCGATCTTTATTTGGTAATGAAGACATCTCTACTTTCCTCTGTTCTGCCATTTTTTCTAATCAAGACCCTGATGTTATTAATTTAACACTTGAAGATCTGCAGTCTCCCTCCTCTTGCATCAAACTTGTATTGAGTACATCTGCGGCAGGAATGGGACTTGATCCTCCTTCTGTAGAACGAGTGATTCTTGCCTGTCCTCCTCGATCTCTTGTATAATACGTGCAGGAGATTGGGAGAGCTGGGAGACGAAGACAGGTCTCTGAAGACATCTTGTACTATAGAGGGGGTGATATATCTCCCAACCTGACAGGTCTGACAGATGACATAGTGGAATATTGTCGAAATACTGACAGTTTTCTTCGAGGGAAGATGTTGTCTTTTTTTTGGTTTTCAGAAAGACAGTTCGATTTCTGGTTGTTTATTTGTTCCTTCTGTGAAAAATCATGAAATTGTGTATTTTGTGAAGACCTTTGTGATTTAGAATGATACTTTGATGTTAATACTGATGCTTCCTATGAGAGGTTATCAAAAAGTTGGCAAACTAATTGAATGACTTCCATAAAAGAAATCTCGATATGGGTGGATAATGATATCCTTTTCTTGAATT